GCGGGTGAGACGCATTAGCCAGGAAGAGCGAGGAGCTAAGTAACCGAGGGAAAAAGTGATACTTTGAAGCTGGGGGCTCGTTCTTGGAGTCAGAACGCCTCCAGTAAAATCACATTAAATGTAATGAAATAAACGTCGGAATGCGACAGGCCCCTGTGAAGACCCGAATCAGGCGGATGTGTTGTCATTTCCTTGACGAGCCTGCCCCGTCCTGGGGTCCCTGCTCCGAAATGAGAGCAATTATTCTAATTTGTTTTATTGCATTAGCGTGGGCAGAACCAAAGAAAGGGGCTTTCTTCCCGGCTCTGTCATCCTTCCTGCAAGAGCGCCCAGGAGGCCAGACCCCGGACTCCAGCTCGGGGGCGTCATGGGAATTTCTGGAAAGTGATGTCTGCAGCGCTCTGACCTCTGGCCCCCAGCTGCGGCCCCTGCTCATGGCGGGCCCCGTGCTCGGCTCCTCGGCACCTCTCTGTGTCTCTGCCACTCGTCTCAGAACAGCCCCAGGCAGAAAGACAGCCGTTCCCATGGCCTAGAAATGCACCCAGCCCCTAACGCCAGCGCGGAGCCGCCACCCCTCCCACCGCTCCTCGCAGCCCCGCGTCAGCCTGTCCTGGGCGGGCTTCGTCAGGGCAGGTTTCAAAGGGTCACCAGGATTCGGGGAGGGGGCAAAGTAAAACTCCACGAAATGGCTTTGGTCGTTTCTGCTCCCGGCCGCACGTGTCAGCCCAGACCGTCTTCTCTGACCGTCTGCATGCTCACATGTGTGTTTCTGGGTTCAGATGGTAGGTTTCTCTTTAATCGTCCCTGGGGGTCAGAAAGTGCAGGTACGGCCCAGTGACACGGCAGAGGAGCTGGGCCAGGTGGCTACCTGGGGTTGGCTGGGTCCTTTACGTATGAAGACAAGTTGGTCTTGACAGGTGCCCAGGCGTGCCTGTGCTGGCTGACATCACATGCGGGATGCCAAACAGTGAACCTCCAATGTGGTGGTCGCCGTGCGCCCTGAGACCTGGGGTCCCCCCTCCACTGCTGGTGAAGCACTCGGGGGCCCAGCTCAGCTCCCAGAGCAGAGACGCAGATGGGTCAGCACAGAGCCCAGGGCGCCCAGCCTCCTCCCCGTGGCCCGAGTGGCATCCAGACCAGCATGCCCACTGGCAGAGGAGGCCTGTCCCTTGCACCTGTGGCCCGTTCGTCAGTGCTCACGGCCCCGGGGGCGCAGCTCCTCTGTGGCGAAGGAGCCACGAGCAGGAATGCCCTGTCTTTGCAGATGGAGGAAGGGTTCCAGAGTCGGCAGAGACCTCCAGCCATGAGAGAACGGGCTGCTGAGTGTGTTCACAGTGAGGCCGCTGGGGACAGGGCTCTCTGCGTGGCACATGTGTCCCTGAGGGCAGGGACCCCCCTTGCCGGTGTTCGTGGGCTGTCCCCCCTTGCCCGGGCACAGGCCTGGGGAGCCCCTCCCCCAGGTGTGAAGGGACTTGTGCAGCTTACAGATGTGGTTGCTCTTTCTGGGGCGGAAGCCTGGTTCTCCCAGGCTGAGCGGGAGTGTTTAAGAAGCGTGTTCTCGGAGCGAGCACTTCGGGGAGAAGCCGTCTGCACCCCAGGCCCGTCTTCTGCGCCTGCCTCCACCCACCGCCCGGGGCCGAGGCTTCCTCCGTCCCCAGGAATGTTCCAGCATCCTGGCACTCTCCCTTTCCCAAGCCAAGAGCAGGGGTCGCAGGGACAGCTCTAGGTCGCTCGGCCCTCTTTGGGTCTGGCATGTTACTAGCCTGTCTGTGCCTTTTTTTTCAGAATTAATTTTGGGCTGAAAAAGGCTCAAAGAAGGCTTTGTTCCTTTGACACTTACTCTGGAAGAAAAAAAATCCGTGGAAAATCTGACATCTGCATTGTAGGGAGAAATCAATAGATGGGGAGGAATATAATTATCCTCTGCTCCTGAAAGAATGTTTCAGATTTTTAAGTGTCTCATATCAGCTTAGAATTTGAATGACATTTTAATTACTTTGTTTTTTTCTTCTTTGCCTGGTTTGAATCTCCGAAGAGTACCACTCTCGGATCTGGGAGGATGCGGGAGCGGGCCCGCGCTCACGGGGGAGCTCGTGTGACAGCAGGCTGAGTGCTCCTGCTGAAGAGCGGGCGCGTCCGCATCAGACATGGGCGGTCCCCGCGCGTCAGCAGGACGGACTCGCTCAGAGCAGGTCCGCAGGACATCTCGGACTTCTGAAGTGCTGTCTTCATACAAACGTGACTGCACCGCAGTTCAGACTGGGAGTGGTCTCTCTGGCTCTTTTGTGATCCAGAAAGACGTGACTCTGCTTTTCAAAGTGACTCATCCTGCGAGGCTCTAAATAGCAGCGCTGGGGTCCCTGGAGCACGACTGACTTCTGATGGGACACACAGCTCCCGTGATGGTGGCTCGGCCCGAGCCGGCTGAGGGCAGGGGGCAGGTTCAGCCCCCCCGCTGTGGTGTATGCAGACCCCAGAGAGGCAGATGCCGAAGCAGGAAGTGGCTCCCTCCAAAACCAGCATCAGAATAACTGCTGGGTCTTCGTGGTGCTCAGAATTGAGCACCTTTGGGATACGTTTGTAAACTGACTGCCAGGCTGCGTGTGCAGCTCGTCTAGCCTGTGTGCACCACAGGAGCTCTCATTTGGTCTTTCTGTAGAAGCCGGTGTGGCCGCCACACATTGCCCTGACGTCCTTGTCATTTCTCATCCCTGCTCTTTTGGGCGTCACTGTGTCCGTGCCACCCACCAGCGGCCCAGGCTGGGGGTCTTAGCTGCTCCCTGCCCCACACACACTCCAATCCTTCAGCCCATGCTGTGGGCTCCACATTCCAGACATGTTCCACATCCTGGGTGGTCATTCTGCCTTGTTGGCCATGTGGCCACCAGAGGACCCATCAACTCACACTGTCCCGTCCTTGGCTTAGAGCCCTCAGCTGCCCCAAAGTCCTGCCCATGTGTGAAGGTCAGTTTTATATGTCAACCTGGATGGGCCACTGTCCCCATTTATTCATCCAAACACCGATCCTGATGTTGCTCTGAGGGTGTTTCACAGACATGATTGAAGTCCATGGTCGGTTGACTTTAGTGAGGAAGATTATCCTGGACAACCCACAGGGTGGATGACGGCTGGATGGATGGTAGATTGATGGGTCGGTGGGTGGGTGGGTGGATGGATGGATGGATGGTGGATGGATGGATGGTAGCTTGATGGATGGGTGGATGGATGGACGGATAGTAGATTAATGGATAGGTGGATGGGTGGATGGATGGATGGATGGATGGATAGTACATTAATGGATAGGTGGATGGGTAGATAGATGGATGGATAGGTGGATGGATGGATGGATGCATGGATGGGTGGATGGATGGACGGATAGTAGATTAATGGATAGGTGGATGGGTGGATGGATGGATGTGTGGATGGGTGGATGGATGGATGGATAGTACATTAATGGATAGGTGGATGGGTGGATGGATGGATGTGTGGATGGGTGGATGGATGGATGGATAGTACATTAATGGATAGGTGGATGGGCAGATGGATGGATGGATGGATGCATGGATGGGTGGATGGATGGATGGATAGTAGATTAATGGATAGGTGGATGGGTGGATGGATGGATGGATGGATGGATAGTACATTAATGGATAGGTGGATGGGTAGATAGATGGATGGATAGGTGGATGGATGGATGGATGCATGGATGGGTGGATGGATGGACGGATAGTAGATTAATGGATAGGTGGATGGGTGGATGGATGGATGTGTGGATGGGTGGATGGATGGATGGATAGTACATTAATGGATAGGTGGATGGGTGGATGGATGGATGTGTGGATGGGTGGATGGATGGATGGATAGTACATTAATGGATAGGTGGATGGGCAGATGGATGGATGGATGGATGCATGGATGGGTGGATGGATGGGTGGATAGTAGATTAATGGATAGGTGGATGGGTGGATGAAACTGATGGAACTCAGCCCAGAACAGTTGTAGCTGCAGAAACCACCATCACAAGAGAAAGCTGAGCCATATTCCATGGTTGTTTTCTTTGTCGGTGCAGTTTCTCACCTTCTAATCCAGCTCTTACATAAGAGACAGAAATTGGCACGGAATTTCTGTATCTCAAGCAACATTTTTAGTCCCGGCAGGGGGGACAGTTTGTTTCTGACTTATGAAGGAATTGTATGGAGCTGCGAGTTCCCAAGAGAAGGGGGGTGGGGCTGTGTCTGACCGGCACCGAGCTGGCCGTCCTCCCTGCGTCTGCCGCCGGGCCATGCTGTGGCTACTGCACGGTGTCCTGGAAACGGCAGCAGGGCTGCGGGGAGCTGACAGTGACAGGGCGCCTGGCTAGTGCCGAGAAGCTCGCCTGCAGGCTGCTCAGCAGAGCCCCACTCTCCACAGCCGCTTCCCTGGTGGACCTGGCCACAAAGCAGTTCCCAGGACACTCTCAGGCCCGAGCACCGGGGGCTTATGTGCTGCAGAACGGCAGTGGCCACTCCCAGCAGGTGGGTGGGCGTTGTCGTCCAGCCTGCCTGACCTGCTCGAGTGTTTGTCATCGCAGCAGCTGAGACGACCTCTCTGTCAGGTCTCCCCAGCGTCTGGAAGTGTCAATAAGAGTGGGCGTGTAGCTTCACAAACTGGTCTATTTTCAAAGCTTCCCAGTTGCATCACTGGGACGATGCTCAGAGCCTGGAACCTCGGTTGTAAAGACAGCACAGAAGGGACTGACTTCATAAAGAAAGCCAGTGTTTCCTGCTGGCTGCAGCGTGCGTTTGCTAACTTTTAGTCAACAAGAATCCTGCATATGTTTCATGAAGCTTTGCTTACCTTTTACCTCTCACCTCACTTCAGGTGGGAGATGAAATCCGTCAGTCCCCTAAAGCCCCTTTGGCGTGGGTCCTCCACCTGGTGGCCAGGGTACCTGTCCTGAGGGACCCATGCCATTCTTGGACAGTGGTTCACGTCCCTTCCTCTCTGTCTCGCCTTGGCAGGGCCTGATCAAGATCCGGGGGGACCAGTGCTGGCGGGACCTCACCTGCATGGACTTCCACTACGAGGTGAGCAGCGCGACAGCTGTGTGGTGATGCAGCAATGCAGACGTGAGCTGAGCTCGCCTGTGCCCAGCCCCGCCCCATCCGGGAGACCAGCCACCTGCACTGCAGATGCAGCCTCCTGGAGGCTGCAGCTCAGCTCACTTGAGACCGCGCCCCAGCCCCGCTTCCTTTCTCGGGGGCTCGGTCACAAGGTGGCCCACAGAGGGTCCTGCTTGCTGGGGCTGGAGGATCGGGCATCAGGCCACCATGGTCGTGAGTCCAGTGGTTCATTCTCGTTATGGGTGCTGCGTCCCTCCACTGCTGTCCCCAGTCCTGCCCAGATGCCAGGCCCGGTACCCTCCCTCCTAGAGTCTGAGCTGGCCCTTCATGCCCCAGGGCTCTGCTCTGCTCTGCCCCATGTCCCGCCCCCCAGCCGTGGGGACAGGGGCCATGGGGACAGGACATGGGTGCGGGTGCGTTGCGGCTCCGCTGGGAGGCAAGCGCTAGTCCTGCTGTGCTCAGCCCCCCATGGCCCCTGCCCGGCCAGGCCCAGGGCTTTGGGCACGATCGTCCACCCCCACCCCGCAGGCCCAGGCCCGGTGTGAGCCCCCCAGCTGCTCCTGCTCCATTGCCTGCTCACGTGTTCACGGTGGGGCTGCACGCTGACCTGAGGGAGCCTGCGTCAGGACAGCAGTCATCTTCCTGGTGACGATGCTCACTCTGCATACACAGTCGTGCCTGTCAGCGCCCGCGTTCCTCACTTGGGCCCACGTTGCTCTTGCTGGCAGCGTCTTTGACGCGCCTGGAGCGCCACCTGTCAGACAGGGTGCTCCCATGTTCCCTGCTCATTGCTTATGGCTTGATCACAGGAAGGTGATTTTTATCTGCTCTTGTCAGAGGCAGCTCACTGACACTCTCACACCAGGGCTGGGTGGGGGACCCTCTGCTCTGTCCTGGCCCCCCCCCAAACCCCCAGCCACCTGGTTGACACTATCCCGATGGGTGAAGAGCGTGTGCCCTGAAGGGAGTCCGAGCAGGTGAAAGGGTGCGTGTCAGCGTCCTCACGGCACCAACGCCCGTGACCTGCATGCGGCTCTCGGCCAGCGTGGAGGCCCCTGACTGTTTCAGGTCGATGGAAGGAGTCTTGGCCAGTGGAGAGGGGCAGGGTGAGCCCAGAGGGCAGGGCTGGGTGTGTCCTCACCAGGGCAGGCTTCTCCATCCCCATGGGGACCACCGACTCTTCCCAGCAGCAGGAGCCTTTCCTCAGTGGAACCTCGTTTCACTGCCCGCTCTCTGAGCTGGGGTGGAGTGAGGGCACCTGGGGACGTGGGGAGTAGGGCTGGGACCCCTCGTGCTGTCTGTGCCGTGGGGGCAGGGACCATGGGCCATGGAGCCTGTCCTCAGTGACCTGGACTCCTCCAATCCATGGCCAGTGGCAGCAGGGGCTCCAGATAACATGACAGCAGGGCCTGTGAAAGAGAGAGGGCCCCTCGTTTGCTGTCACAGCACGACTGGCGGAGACCTCACGAGAGGGACGTGCTGGAGAAGGTGGCAGAGCCAGTGGGGCATTGGAGTGGCCAGGGCCTACAGGGGAGCTGCAGGGAGGGGCTCCTGGGCCCCTCCTTCCCCCTCTGGCCTTGCTTCTGTTTCATCTCGAACTTGGCTGCTAACCCCGTGAGGGGATCGTAGTAACTGTACTCTGGCACTCTCTGGGCACTCAGGGTCCCTGCGAGTTCGGCCCAGCAAACTCCCGGCCCTGAGAGCACAAGTGGCCATCCTGCTCAAGCCGACGAGGAAGCTGACACAGAGCTCTGCCCACCCCAGGCCCTGCCAGTGCGCAGAGGGCTGAGCAGAAGAGGCCTCCCGCCTCCATCCTCCCGCCTCCTGTGCTGTGGCCCGTCCAGCTCATGGCATGACTGTGTGGAGAGACCTGAGGCCCCCGATCTTTTCATGTCCTCCAGCTGGACAGGGCGCAGGCTGCGGGACGTGCCGTGTGTAGGGGCCCCGTCCCTGTCCTCGTGCTTGGACCCGGAGTGCTCAGCAGGGCCTGGTTTCCCTTGCACACAAGGTCTTCCAGCAGCACGAAGCGCGAGCTGAGCAGGCGGAGGCATCGTGACCGCCCTGCGGCTCCCGGAGCACACACCCCTGAGGGCTCCTCCCCCGTCCGCGGGGCAGCAGAGGCCTCACTGCTTGTCTTCCTGTCCTCGTGACTAAAGGCAAGTGCTGGTGAATTCAGTCAGTCAAACCAGAAGAAGCCCCGGGGCAGAGGTCATTGAGTGCAGACCGTTGGTCCCGCCAAGAGAAAAGGCCAAGGTGTGGTCACTGCAGATCTCGGGATGGCCCGACCGCAGCCACGCAGAGCCAGTCACCGCCAAGTGCGTCAAGGTCAGAGCCGCCACCTCAGCAATGCTCTGACAGCCTTGGTCCACACGGCAGCGGTTCTGCCCGAATGGCTGTTTCTGATCCCAGCCACACAGGAAGCCGAACGCAGGAGATGCCGCTGGAGTGCCTCAGCCGTCAGACGGAGTGGAAGGAGGAGAGAGAGCTGCATCCTGCCCACTTGGAGTCTCACATCTCAGCCAGTTAGCTAGCGTGCCAGCTGGAACAGTGAGAGGGGCTCTCAGCGGCAGGCCCGCGTTCCTGTGTGGGCCTCGTGTTCTGTACAGATCCATCAGAATCTGCATTTCTCAACTTTGGATACCTTGATTACACAAGTTTATACTTAAAATTCTTCTGTATTGGACCTGTCACTCAGCGATGCACTCGGTCGCTGAGCAATTGAACGTCTCTTGGCCTCACTGGGCCGCTGCCCACGGCTGTTGGTGGTCCTCCAGGGCTGGGTCTGTGCCCGAGGTGGCACCATCCTCAGGTGACCCCTTCCTTTCCTGTCCCCCCCAGGGGTGCACAGAGGAGTTAATACAGGTTTATGCAGTGGTTTTGCCCCAGAGCCCTAGAGGCAGAGCTGCCCTCTAACCCAGGGACATAAATCACTTTCCACTCCTATTATTGGCAAAGTCCCACAGCCTCACAGCGCATAAAGGAGGCCTTTGTGTTGCCTTGATGCAGTTGTAAGCGAGAGTTTCTTGCCTGAGATGGGAACTGCTGACGTCCAGGGCGCCTCCAGGATCCATCAGAGCCTGACGTGGGAGTGGGGGGCCGGGAGCAGGCGCCGCGGGCCACTGCGTGCACGTGCCCTCGCCACCATGCGTGCCTCCTGCCTCTCAGGTCGCAGGGGCACGCAAGGTGGTCCCCATACAGCGCTCACCCCGGGGGTCAGGGAGCAGCACAGTCCTCGTCGCTCTTCTCCTCTGACCGGGCCGCAGCCTGACTATGAGGGCAGCTTCCGCCGGCGTCTCCTGGAGAAGGTCCTTCCTCGTGCTCTGGGGTCCAGAGGCCTCTCACCTCCCGTCCAGGACGCATCTTCAGATGCATCAGGGTGGGAGACGGTCCCTGGCTGCAGCCATCCTGCTCAGCTCACGGCGGGTGCTGTGTGCCCCTCGGCAGGCAGTCTGTGCTGCCCGTCCCTGGACACTGCTCGTCCTTCCACGAGCCAGGCAGACAGCCTGAGAGGGGCCGCCTTCACGAGCCCCTCAGCCTGGGGCCTGCGGGAGGGGACGCAGTCAGCTCAGTGCTCCGATCTCAGAGCCAGTCAGCGGGAGGAGGGGCGGGGCGCAGCGGCCTCCCTTCAGCGCTCTCTGCCGTCCTCACTGGCTGTGCCGCAGACCTCGTGTCACCCGTGGAATTTGCTGACGGGTGCCCCCACGCAGATGTGACCACGAGGTCTTCTGTCCAGGCACGGTGTCCCTGCTCCCACCCTCCGGGGACTGCTGGCTACGGTGGAAGTGCTGTGCCCTGCGCATCTGGATGCCCAGTGCTGTCGGGGGGAGGCCAGATTCCAGTCACCTGGCCTGCGAGGTGCCTCCCTACGAGGAGGCTGGGAGAGGTCACATGTCACCCCTCAAATTGGACCCATTTCCCTTTAGTCCAGAGCAATGGTTCGAGGGCGCACGCATGCGCAGAGCCTCTGCAGCACTCGCAGCTCAGCTCCCCGTGGTGGCGATGGCCGCGGTCTGCCCACTTGTCTGTGTTTCCATGGACGACCGGTGCTCGGGGAAACTCCAGGCAAGTGGATTGCAAGTCGGAGATTGCACAGATCTGGAGCCGGCAGGTTTGGGCAGACATCTTCAGGGATCCAGCAGATCACAGATGCGGGGAATCAACGAACCCCGAGGCCCCCCCATTCACCCCCTCCAGCCAACTGCCCTTCTGAGAGTTCGGCAGGCAGCGTTGTGCACCGCTGGCAGGACATGGACCCCTGAGGGCCACCACGCAACAGTGCACGCAGAGGGCTCTCCCAGGACGCCTGCAGACCTCGTGCTGCTGCAGCTCGTCAAAGGGGCACCTGTGACAGCGGGAGGACATTCACGGCAGGAGACCTGGCTTCCAGGGCAGGTTCCCCAGCCCCCGTTCAACGGACAAACCTGGGCAAATCGTTTCTTGTTTTGAGCTTCCTCATCGGCAAAGCACTAAGCTTGCCCTTTGAACCAGAGTGTGAACCGATTGTTGACAAAAAGCCAGAATGAGGAGCCGCGGGACACGCGATTGCCATTCGTTCCAGCTTTTCCTCCGTGGATTCTCTTCCCTAAAAGTTAGCGGCCATGGTCAGAGAGGTCCCAGAGTCCGCGCCCTTCACAGCCTAGGGCCGCCCAATCGTCGCGCGTCTTCCGCTGAGTGGTGACACCTGGACAAGGCGGTGTGAACACGTCGCCAGTGGGTTGGTGCACCGGGGCCTGCTCCTCCGGGCTGTCCCTGGTCAGCTGTTTTCTCACAGCTGCCCTGAGAGCACAACGTCTAGACGTGCTCTTCTGCCACTGTGGGAAGTGCAGGAGGCTGGTGAACGGGTGGCACCTCCGCCCCTCCCAGCTCGCACACCCATTCCCACCCACACACGTGCCCTTTACTGCTTGTGGGTGTGCGTCCCAGCACCAGGGGACAGTGGGCTCTTGCAGAGCCACAAGGCACAG